GGTGCTCGAGAGTATCTGTAACAAGATGCATGAGATTTTCTTTCATTGGTCACGTGTCCCCATCAAGCAAACTTTGTTTTTTCTTCATGGATTTAAGGAAAAATAAAAATGCTGCAATACATCAGAAGCCTGCAACTACCACTGTACACGCGGCAGATTAGAGAAACCAGAAAACTTAACCAGGTTTGGAATTCTGTACGACCTGCACTTTATAATAAAGCCGTTTTGCAACTTCAATCAGCAATCTATCATTTATGTTATTTCATTTAGTTAAGAATTTCATTTTGAAATAAAAAGGTACATTGTAACAGCTTATTTTTTAATGTTTTAAAAACTAGAATGACATGTAGAGAACTTGCTACATCCCTTGTACATTGTTTAAATTGGTTTTATGTAGTTACCAAGTTTGTTTTGTTTAGATATGTGTATCCAACTGGAACTTTTTTCAACTGTAAATATATGGTTTTGTTAAATAAAGTCATGTAAAGTTATCTTAATCACCTATTGTCAGTGTAATTCAGAAATTAAAACTTCAAGTACCTGTCTGTTTTTTCACAGGCTCCTGCAGCAGTTTTTGTCTAAAATCAGGACTTTGGTACGTTTGAGTATTGCAGGTGGAGGATTTTTTTGGTGATGCTTTCCTAGTTCTCATGTTAAAATACACAGTATATTGCATTTGACATTTAGAAGAATGGATACTTACGGTGCCCCTGGTTTAATCCATTTCATGTGCCTTTCTCTGGACTAGAGATCTGATTAGTTTATTATGAAAAATAGATGTAAATGCATCTTTGAGATGCGCAGAACTCAGAAATGCTTGAATACCTTATCCTTTCTTTGTTTTAAGGGAAGAAATCTTGGTTTTGTGCAAGTTTCATAATGACAAGGCATTTTTGTGCTCAGTTTAAGGCAGTTTTAAAATTCTTACATAGGCATAACTTCAGAGATAACAGTGGAGAAGCTTCCTGTTGCTCACTGAGCTGAAGAGAGGTTAAAGCACCAAATAAAGGATAGATAAAAGCAGGGGAGAGAAGACAGTACCTGTGCCACAGGAGTACATGGGGAATGCAGCCAAGACTTGGCTGCTGCAGTTCTAGTTTCTGCAGTAAACACGACTCTTGCTTCCTTGTACTGAGGTATCCTATGGTTTCATTTGCTGGATCAGAATGTAAAATCAGAAATGCTTTATATAAGCCTGTACCAATGTGATACCGATAGAGCTTTATATTGTATAGATTACAGGTGTTGCACAAAACTGTTGAAAACTAGATTTGCTTTTCCAGAACTCTTTTCCCAGTATGAATTCCAGTCTGTTTGAAGAGAAGTGAGAGACTTTCCTGCATGCCAGCACATGAGATTAGGAGGTAAAAGGACACTTGTCTTTGCTGCTTCGTGACGGAATGTTGTCTTCCTGTATATATAGGAGGAAAATGGAGGAATCTTTGATCTTCATCCTCAGGGTGCTTTGGAGGGCCAGGGTAGCGGTGGGTTATCTCAACAACCCAGCGCTAAGAAAAAAAAGTTCTGGAGATGATGTGTGAAGTTTGAGCAAATGCCTTAGTAGTATTTGTTGCGGTGGAAATACTCAGTTTGGGAATGTGCTCTCAGGCTCATTTGCATCCTGAATTCTTGCCTTCTCCAGATGTCAAACGTGCAGCAATGAAAAGCATTTAAGATTTGCTTGCCCTGCTTCTCCTCCCTTTATCTCTCTAGACTTGTTGCTTAACAGCATTGAAGAAGTTAAAGGAAGGTTTATACGTCTTAAGCCAAAAGCAGCAAGAAGTGTAAGAATTTTCCTGGCAGGAATTTGTAAGCAGTCAAAACAGGTCAGCATTAACTTCTCTTAGGGAGATGGCTGTGGATCATCCTTAATTATTTATGAAAACAGTTCTGTGGAGTGCCAGGAGGCTACTGAACAACAGAGCTAGATCTGCTGGTTTTCAGGAAAAGTTTTTGAGTATTAGTTGTGTAATGTCTCTTCATGAGCAGAGTGTTTGAGCTACTGAAGACACAGAGTACTTCAGTCGTTTGCAGAACAAGAGCCTGCACTGTTCCGCTGTGTTTATGCAATAGTTCTGCAGAACTGTCGGGACCTTGGAAGAGTATAACCGCATTGCTACTGCGTGATTGCAGTAAGAGTAAGAAATTACTGATCTCTCATTTCGCTAGAACCAGAGAACAAGATTTAAACATTCAACAGTGCAATAACCACCTTAATTATGTTTTGTCTTTTAAATATCCAGGCAATTCAGAAAGCTTAGTTCAGAGATGATTGAAGAGAGGAAGGTGTGAGCCATTCCTAGGAGTGTCTTCATGTCAGTTCATCTACTTTTTATCCCCATATCAGTGCATTCAGTGACTTGCGTACTTTGTTTAAATGCATCTGGAACTTTCTTCTTCGGAACTAGACCCAGCAGCTCAAATACAGCTCAGCAGTACTGGTCCCACAGGGCGTAACTCCAGCCCGTGGTGGAGAACCAAAAGGCTCCACTCCTTAGCACCGGGATGTGGCTTTTTCCTGCAAAGTTCACAGCTGTTGAACACTTAACTCTGAGCCTTTAATACTCAACTCTGATTACTAAAAATGGGACTAAAGATTGCCGGTTTACCTAATCACAGTAGTGGTATCACAGCTAGAAACTAACAATAAAGTAGGTAGGATTGACCCAGTAGTCGGGCACATCAGCCTGTGACGGCTTGTAGGGAGCCTGCCAAAGATGCAGTTCCGTCAGTACTGAGCACCCAGGGTATCGGGGCTCCAGCGGTGACTGCCCTAAGGTGTTGCTGTGTTCCTGACATCATCCCGTGCCTCAGATCAGAGGTAATGCTGCAGTAGCAGCATCCAGAGCTGTGGGACATCGATCAGTCTTGGTCAGTGTGTGTCATGGGGGAACTGGGAGTCTCAAGAACATGTTTGGAAAGGGGAAGCTGCTTCCTGTAACTGTGTGTAACTGTGAGCTGTACAGTCATAAGGGTGTCAATGTTTGCGCCCCCTCCCCTTGTTCTTCAGTCTCTTTTTCTGGAATTGTGGTACGCTGTATTTGAGCGGCACAAAGGGGACCAAAACAGTGATGGGCTTCCACTACTGCCTACCTCTTCCCACACCATAAGTGAGGAGGGCAAGCCTGAGAACCCTCTAAAGCTGTAAAGGCTGAAAGGCCAAAAAAAAGAATCAAAACTCTAGTTTGGAGTGGTAAGATTTATGTATATATTCATGCTATAAAAATAGTTCTTAAAGTAATAAACCTTTCTTCTTGTGCACCACTGAGGCAAACCAGGCAGCCTCTGCAGTGATACAGTGCCCCTGTGGCAGTCACATCGGGCGTTAACCGTCAGCTGTTCCCCCGTTCCCAGCCACAGCCGTGCCACTGCCCCTGGCGGTGTGCCCACCGAGCAGGGCAGGGCGATACCGAACTACACAATCCACACCGGGGGTGGTGGGATCAGGAGCTGAGTCAGGGTTTGGATGGGGCTTGGCTTACGCAGTGTTGCCGTGGCCTGAAGGAACCGAGGGCCGAGATGGCTTTTTGGAATCATAGAAAGTTTGGGGTCGGAAGGGACCCCAAGAGGTCATCTAGTCCAACCCCCCCGCAGCAAGCAGGGACACCCCTAACTAGATCAGGTTGCTCAGAGCCCTGTCCAACCTGGTCTTGAATGTTTCCAGGGATGGGGCCTCCACTACCTCTCTGGGCAACCCGTTCCAGTGTTTCACCACCCTCATCGAAGCTGGTCTTGTCTGACTGTGTGTGAGGCCTCTGTGTGAATGAGACGTACAAAGCAGTGTCAAGCGAAACAGGAGCTCTGATGCGCGGCTCTGCTCTCCCACGGGGGAAGCAGCCGGAGACAAACCAAGCGTAAGAAATGAGTGAGCGTTGATTTTAAACAATTATCACATTGTAGTTGTTATTTGTGGAGCGCTATTGGTGATAATTAGAATAGTAAGCTGTATTTGTCATAAGTGTTGTCAAAATGTTATAGTTGTGTCTGGTTGTTGTTAACAGTGGCGACAACCCAGGACCCGGTTGGCCCTCTGGGCTGCCAGCACACATTGCCGGCTCATGTCCAGCCTTTCGTCTGTCAGCACCCCCGTCCCTCTCAGCAGGGCTGCTCTCGATCCTTTCATCCCCCAGCCTGTATTGATAGCGGGGATTACCCCGACCCAGGTGTAAGACCTTGCACTTGGCCTTGTTGAACCTCATGAGACCTCACACAGGCCCACCTCTCCAGAAGCGCAGCCTTCTGACTGAAGGTTTTTGTTTTTTCCAAGATGGGCACATGTGTGTGTGTTCATTCAAAATGAGCAGCTACCGTCCGTCATCTCTTCACTGAATGCGTCACACTGACACGTCGCATACAAAAGGCGTTTTCAGGAGTACGTCTGTAATGTGTGCCCCAAGACTTCCCAAAAAGAAGCAAGTTAAAAATCAGAATTATGGGAAGCTCTTTTGTTTATTCCTTTTCTGTGCTTTCTGTCTCCAGTCATCATCAGCAAGGAAAGAGGAATTGGCTTCCTTGATTTTTTCCTGAACTCTCCTACAATGAAGGATCAGGCCAGCATGGTGACGCTGCAGTCCTTCCAGGCGCTGACTTAGAAGCTCTGCGGCATCCACCTTTTCCTCAAAGTCCCGAAGCAGGGCCTCGTATCCAAGCAGCCCACATCTCTGCTGCAGTTCCAGGTTGTTCCTCCGCAGTCTGTCTCTGGCCTGTTTGGTTTTGGTCACGATGTCTCTCTTCTGCGACAGGACGGTCTCGATGCCCATCAGTTCAGCCTTTCTCTCTTCATTTTCAGCTTCCACAAAGTGTAGTTTTTCCTGGAAGTGGCTGAGGATGTACACCATGTTCGATACCTTCTTCTTCAGCTTCAGGATTTCATCGCTGAGCTCGTCAATCTTTTTGCTGTGTTTCTGACACTCTCTCTTCATCTGCTCAAAGTCCATAAAACGCTGGTCCTTGACCACTTTTCCCTGAGCTTTCAAGTTGCTTTCCAGGTTTTGGATTTCATGCTTCAGCTTGATGTTCTCCACGCGGGCCTAGGGGAGCGGAAACAAAGGAAGAATGACCCCGTTGCTCTCACCCCTGCCGTGCCGGGGCGAAGTGCCTCTGTGGAGAACGCTCCGTGACAGCAGTGACGCTCCGAGGGGACAGAAGCCCCGCACAGGCTCTGCTCGGGGCTGGCGGCGGGGGGTGCCCGCGGGGACCGGAA